CTGCAAGTACAGAAATCAATATAGCCAGTGTGTACACTAGTAATGTGAGTCCTTCAATTATATACCGGCAGAGTGCGTTTCTTATACGTCAGAAGTCAATAGTTGGATGCGTGGTAGTGCGTCAGTCATCAATGTGCGTCCCTTAACGTCCCTTCAGCTGATGTAACGATGACAGAGCTGCTCATGCTAGATGCAAGAGGAACGAGGCAGCTGTCTCGAACTGTCAGTGATATGAGAGGACGCTGTCAAATAGTGAATAGTCAGAGATACTGTGTGGCTAAGAGACTGTGAAAGATAATGTGAGAGATACTGTGATACAGACTGGAGATAAACCGCTAGTGATATTGCGAGAGACTGTATAAAAGGATTGAGAGATATTGTGAAAATTACTGTCAGATACTGTGATATATGAGAGACACTCGAGATATACTGCGAAGGATTGTGTGAAAGAATGTGAAGAATATTTATTATGAGTGTCTGTGACTGAGAATGTGAGAAATGCTACGAAAAACAGTGAGGAACAATTTGAGAGACTGTGACAGAATACGAGTCTGAGAAACCGCATGAGAAATAGTGAGAGATCCACAACATCAGGAAAAGTGGAGGATATAACCTTTGGTACTCCATTGTACTGAGTTAGTACCTTCCTTATATGTATGCAAAACAACCACAAGGAAAGTTGAATGATAACTCTAGGCCTTTCCTATTGCACTCAACACTTCATCAGGAGCTTCCAATGTTGCTTGTTGCAGAAATGAGTAGGAAGCCCAAGCAATATCGTTCAGGGGAACTATTCTAACTCGAATGTGGTAAGGAGAGAGGAGACACCAGACATACAAGTACCTAGTGTCAGAAAGATAGAGTATTAAAGCCCACAAGAACTGATAATGTAGTAATGACCTAGCAAAACATTAGTGACAAGACAGTTGTCAAAAATTTGGCCAGAATTCGATACGATATAAAAGACTTTAAATTCTGAATACAGATATATCTGGCAATTATCTTCAGAAAATTCCGTAAAATTAAGAAAACGGGTATACGACCAACTTACTTGAAACAAAAGGGAGACATCTATAGTTTATCCCATTGGGAGGCGTCTATAGTTTATCTAACCTATCCAGTTCTTGAGCAGACGCTGGTCTAACACATGAAGGCAGGGATGCAGGCCTTAATTCCTTGGTGTCGAACTACGACACTTAAGACACTGCAGAGCATTCGTGTAGGAATCTGGCGTTAGGCTATGCAAAATGGCCTCGATTATAAGTGAATCGAGTTTGAATAATCCAAAATTATTATAATATAATAAGCGTTTATCATGTTTGATGATTGCTGATCCTAAAATATTTCTTTCCAACCATGAGGTACAAGAAACTAAGACTCTTGCCTCCGGCCAATTTGCTGGATTGTTGCAAACTCGGATGTGGTTGAATATCGTATTTGATTCCTGAGCTGTTCGTACAGAATATTAGTGTTGTGTTAACCTAACATTTAGAGGCTTCTTAACAGTCTGCGAATTCTTAAAAGCTACTTGTATGTTGAATCTTTTTAGGGCATTCAGCAATTTGATAAATTCTCATTGTATGGAACGACCAGCACATTCATGATCGAGGAGTTATTCTAAGTTTGTCCTATGATAAAAATTTCTTTCGGGGGAAAAAAAAAGGGACCCCAAATTTTTGGGGGGAAAATTTAAACCCAAAATTTTTTTAAAAAAACCTTAAAAATTTGAACATTAAATTTGATAATCGGGTTTAAAACTAAATTATCAGGGGTTTCCCAAATTTTTTTAAATTCCATAAATAGGAAACCAGCAACTTCAGGGAACTATTAATCCAATTGGTATAAGAGGGCCCAAAAATCCCATTTCGAAAAAAGTTTAAACCCAAAAAATATTAATTAATCCTGCAACTATGACCAAACTTTTTAAATTTGGCAAATTTAAAAAACGATTAAAATTAAAAAAAAAAGGGAATATCAAAAATTTAAAATAAGAAAAAGTAGAAAATTAAAAAAAGGAAAAAAAGGAAAAAAATTTACAAAAAATTTTAAAGGAGGGGAAAAAACTAAGGAGAGCAAATTTTGGGGTGAAAACATAAAGACACAAATTTAGAATTTTAAAGAAAAATTTAATAAGAATTTAATAACCAAAATATAAAAAAAGTAATTTGATAAGGAAAATTACCAAAAATATTTAAAAAAAAAAAAAACAAGGGGAATTTTTCAAAAAAGGAGTTTAAATAATATCCTGAGTTTTAAAAAATTGGGTTTGGTAAAAATTTAATTTTAAAGGTTTTAAATAAAAAACTTATTTAATATTCAAATTAAAATTTAAAAAAGAAAGAAAATTCATGAAGTATTAATTAGTTAAAAAATTCCAAGAAAGAAATTTAAAATTAGGTAAATTTTAAAAAAAAAGGGTTTCCACCCAAATTTGGGGCCAACTGGAAGCTCTAGAAAATTGAGAAAAGACTTTTAGGAAAGTAAAATTAATTTTTGAACCATTAGTTGAAACACCCCTTTAAGCCACCCACATTTAAATGAAAATTTTTAAAAATTATGCTGTCCTTAATTTTATTTCAAAATTTCTTCATTATTTGATGGTAAGAGATGTATTATAATGAAAAAACCATGTTTCAAAATCATTGTATTCTGAAATAATGCAAAACAATTAAATTTTAAATAATTAAAAATTATTATTTTTTTTATTATTATTATTATTTTATTATTATTATTTTATTTTATTATTTATTTTTTACTTAACATTTTAAATTATTTAAATATCCCTATTACTGTAAAAACATAAAATTAACTAAAGAAATGTATTGAAGGGTGACCATTCTCGCTTGGATGTGAACTTAAGGATGATTGGGCCGTAATTCTTTCAGTGGCCCCCCTATTACTGTAAACTTTAACATTTATCAACCCGGTGGGTCACAACATCTACAATGAATTTAACAGACGGGACAAGAGCGTTGAGTCTCGGTAAAAATATATCCCGGTTACATCAAGGGTGTCATCCATATATCAACAAATTTTGTTCACGGGCAGATACTTCAACAGCTGCTCAAAAAACTCCATATACAGGTTGTTAATGGGCAGACAAGGGGTCCTCATAACATTCCGGCCTTTGAGTATAAATTTTCCCTCAACTCAAACTTTTCAGTCGCTACACACAACCCCAGTAATAACTTTCTTATTTGAAAAGCATGGGTAACTGGGTAATTAATATTATTTTATTTATTAACACATCGGCCGATTCCCACCAAGGCAGGGTGGCCCGAAAAAGAAAAACTTTCATCTCATTCACTCGATTTAAATGTCTTGCCAGAGGGGTGCTTTAACACTACAGTTAAAAATCTGCAACATTAACTCCCCTCCTTCAGAGTGAGACACTGTATTCCCATCTGCCGTTTCCCCCAAATCCCTTTAAAAAATGTTACTTTGCTCATACTCCAAAAAAAAGCACATCAAGTATTAAAAACCATTTTGTCCTCCATTCACTCCATCAAATAAGCTCAATCACCCACCTTTCCCTCCACTACAGAATTTATTACACTCTCGAAGTCTCTGTTTTTTTTTGTTCCCATTCTCTCTACATGTCCGAACCACCCCAAACAACCCCTCCTCAGCCCTTTGGATAATAGTTTTGGACCCACACCTTCTCCCTAATTTCCGAACTTAAGATTCTGTGAATTATATTTACATTACACATTGCCCTCAGACATGACATTCCACTGCCCTCCGCAGTGGATATATAAATTATATTTATATATATAATATATATATATATATATATATATATATATATATATATATATATATATATATATATTTTATAAAAGGAAACTTTCCTTTCCAAGAACGGATTCCTTTTCAGGTCGAGAAAGTTTACAGATGCAGCCAGGTGCGTTGCATCTGAGAGTGGACAGAGAAAGCCTTGCAAGGACCCAGGGAGGACAAGTTAGCCCCACTCATACCAAAGAGTTCACAAACATTATGTGTGAATCCAAGTCCAAAGGGTTGTGAAAATATATTAGATGGGATCTACTAGCAAACAGTTCATTGATTACCTAATTCAAAGCAAAGTAATAAACACCTAGTTCAATGGAAAACATTAAATACGTAGTTGAAATAAAAACAGTGCTACGTTCAAAACTCACTGACACAACCGAAAGGATCAGGATTCAATCCAGGGGTGGAGAAGACGATTGTGTTTATCTTTTTAGAATTACTGATCCTGTTCATCTGGAAATAAATAGACAATGGAAATAAGTCACTCTGTCTGACTTTTTTGGGTTATCCTAGGTTCTCTACACATATGCTGCTATGTATGATAATTCTATGTAACTGTATTTGTGTATACCTGAATAAACTTACTTACTTACTTAATTAAGAGTCACTCGGCTGTTGTTGGTCGCATTAACGTAGAGATCCTAAAAATCCCAGCAAGAGTAAGCCAAGGTGCTTGGCTTTCCTGGGTTATCCTATGTTATTAACCAATCAGAGCTAAACATCCCATAAAACTTCTTTATTTCCAGGCACCGAGAAGAATACATTGGACTTGTCAATAAAATACATTAATCTCTATGCAAACCTGACTTTGCTTCGGTCAGTGAAGAATCTCTAGCCTTGGCTCTCTGTTCAGCAGTGATAGCAACAGGAATAGCGTATGGTGTTCACAGGTTTCACATTCTCTAGAATATACATATATGTATATGTTACCGTGTATGCGTTTGACAATAAACATTTGTGTATGAATATATGAATGTGCCTGTACCCCCCCTCACACACACACACACACACACACACACACACACACACATACATACATATATATATATATATATATATATATATATATTATATAATATATATATATTATATAATATATATATATATATATATATATATATATATATATATATATATATATATATATATATATATATATATATATATATATATATATATATATATGTATATATATATGTGTGTGTGTG